TAATTAGGATCCTCTAAATTGCACTCAGCTTAAGACTTTCTGTGTACAAGAGCATGAAAGCCATCATAATAATGTGCCTCCAAGGAACATAGTTTTGAGAAGGAAAATAACCTAAGCTTCTGTTTCCCATTTTAATTACTGAATCTCTAACAGTGACAAAACTGTCACATAGGACAGTAAATGTATTCAATAAGTCAGACTTCTTGGAAAGCACACGTTTAGCAACCTGGGATAATGTGGAATGTCAGGAAATATAACATGATTCAACACTGGTTATTTTTTTCATTCTACACAGACATCATTTTTCAATGACAGGACTTTTGTTTTTTAAGTTTTTGACCACGTGGGGCGGCTTGAGTGATCTCAGTTCTCCCACCAGGGATCAAACCTGTGCCCCCTGCTGTGGAAGCATGGACTCTGAACCACTGGACTACCAGGGAATTTGTGACATCATGTTAATGTTTGACCAAGGCACAAAACTTATAAATCATAAACCAGTTTCTTTTTAAAAAAAATTATTTATTTTAATTGGAGGATAATTACTTTACAATATTGTGATGGTTTTTGGCATACATTGACATGAATCAGCCATGGGTGCAATGTGTCCCCCCCAATCCTGAACCCGTCACCCACCTCCTTCCTCACTCCCAGTTTCTTTTTTAAAATCTAGCATTCTTACTGTAGACTTCTGTCTTACTTTGGACCACTGTGTACCCAGTACTCTGCCTGCCTACAGACTGTTTAACTTAACAAAATCAAAATTGATTTCTGACCAGATTTCTGACCAGACATAAACATTTAAGTTACCAGAGTGTTTGCATAACCAGAAGTAGAATAATAAAGATGAAGATGCCTCCTATTTCTTTTAGAAAATAGTACTTTTTAAGCTTGCTGTATCTTTAATGTCATTACTGTTGAATGACAATGAGTAGTTGATAGAAAAAAAAAAAAAGAACTATATACTTGCATTATGATAACTCATCTATCACAGATTTAAAAATGAAATTTCTACAGAAATAGGAACTAATTTAACAAGGGAAAATTTTTTCCTTATTCAGACTTCTTTGAAGTGGTAATGGCTGCAAACCTGCAGCATTTAAAAAACTGTGCTATCAAAGAGCTCTGTCTTAGGAATTTAGATTCAGTAACTTAAAAAACAGATGAAAGTGGATTATTTCTTAAACAATTTAGGAAAACTACGGATAATCAAAGATTTCAAAGCAACTGTGGCACGTAACTCAAGCATAAATCAAGATGGAGAGCTCAAAGACTTTTTAATTTCCTAAAATTAAAAAAAAGTTATCATTGCAACATATAGGATTTCCTCCCTATTTTAATCTTAGGAATTTCAAAGAAAAGGCAGTGGATTGCATACACACATGAGTCCCCACACAAAAATGCAAACATGGACACACATAGTGGTAAGTAGAGTGTCTAGTTCCTTCTTCCTACCACCTAACCCTCACTACCACTGAGCTGTACTTCCTATATGTACCACTCTTTGGACTGTTTATATCCTTGTCTTTGTATGGTGCTTCCTACAATTGTACATGGTATAAACTGTAAAAATACTAGTCTTCAGCCCTTTCTTAAAAGCAAGGATTGTGTCATTCTGTGTTTTTCAGTTTTATGGCTGACACATAGTAGTCACTCTGTTGTGTTGACTATGCTGCTGTTTTCTAATTTTTAACTAACTTGAACTTTCATTTCTTACCTTGGCAGGTTTGTCTCTTCCGATAGATGCTAGAACACTGGCAGGTTAAGTCTCAGATGGTCTTTCGTCCCACATTATACATTAGGCTGAATTCAGGTTGCTCTTAATCAACTCAGAATTCATAAGATGAAGATTATGTATTTCTATTTCTGCTATAACAGAATTGCCGTAAACTTGTGTTTTAGAACAGCAAACATTTTATTCTCTTACTGTTCTTAAAGGCTAAAGTTTGCAGTCAAGTTTTACTAGACTAGAGTCAAAGTGTTGGCATGTCTTGATCCTTCTGGAGGCTCTGAGGAGAGAATGCATTTTCTTTTTTCAGCTTATAGTAGCCCCCTACATTCCTTGGCTTGTGTCTGTATCTCCAAAGCACATTACTCTAATCTCTGCTTTTATTATCAGTTGCCTTCTCATCTTCTTGTAGTCTAATCTTCCCTACCTGCCTCTTGTTAGACCACTTGTGATTATAAGACCTTTTAGAACTAATACCCAAGAAAGATGTCCTTTTCATCATAGGGGACTCGAATGCAAAAGTAGGAAGTCAAGAAACACCTGGAGTAACAGGCAAACTTGGAGTACAGAATGAAGCAGGGCAAAGGCTAGCAGAGTTTTGCCAAGAGAACGCACTGGTCATAGCAAACACCCTCTTCCAACAACACAAGAGAAAACTCTACATATGGATATCACCAGATGGCCAACACTAAAATCAGATTGATTATATTCTTTTCAGCCAAAGATGGAGAAGCTCTATACAGTCAGCAAAAACAAGACCGGGAGCCGACGGTGGCTCAGATCCTGAACTCCTTATTGCCAAATTCAGACTTAAATTGAAGAAAGTAGGGAAAACCACTCGACCATTCAGGTATGACCTGAATCAAACCCCTTACAATTATACAGTGGAAGTGACAAATAGAGTCAAGGGATTAAATCTGATAGAGTGTCTGATGAACTATGGACGGAGGTTTGTGACATTGTACGGGAGACAGAGATCAAGACCATCTCCAAGAAAAAGAAATGCAAAAAAGCAAAATGGCTGTCTGAGGAGGCCTTACAAATAGCTGTGAAAAGAAGAGAAGCGAAAAGCAAAAGAGAAAAGGAAAGGTATACCCATTTGAATGCAGAGTTCCAAACAATAGCAAGGAGGGATAAGAAAGCCTTCCTCAGTGATCAATGCAAAGAAATAGAGTCTTAGACAATAGAGTGGGAAAGACTAGGGATCTCTTCAAGAAAATTAGAGATACCAAGGGAACATTTCATGAAAAGATGGACTCAGTAAAGGACAGAAATGGTATGGACCTTAAAGAAGCCGAAGATATAAGAAGAGGTGGCAAGAATACACAGAAGAACTGTATAAAAAAGATCTTCACAACCCAGATAATCATGATGGTGTGATCACTCACCTAGAGCCAGACATCCTGGAATGTGAAGTCAAGTGGGCCTTAGAAGGCATCACTATGAACAAAGCTAGTGGAGGTGATGGAATTCCAGTTGAGCTATTTCAACTCCTAAAAGAAGATGCTGTGAAAGTGCTGCACTCAGTATGCCAGCAAATTTGGAGAACTTAGCAGTGGCCACAGGACTGGAAAGATCAGTTTTCATTCCAGTCCCAAAGAAAGAGGATGCCAAAGAATGTGCACACCACTGCACAATTGCACTCATCTCACATGCTAGCAAAGTAATGCTCAAAATTCTTCAAGCCAGGCTTCAGGAATACGTGAACTGTAAACTTCCAGATGTTCAAGCTGGTTTTAGAAAAGGCAGAGGAACCAAAGATCAAATTGCCAACATCTGCTGGATCATGGAAAAAGCAAGAGAGTTCCAGAAAAACATCTATTTCTGCTTTATTGACTATGCCAAAGTTTGACTGTGTGGATCACAATAAACTGTGGAAAATTCTGAAAGAGATGGGAATACCAGACCACTTGACCTGCCTCTTGAGAAACCTGTATGCAGGTCAAGCATGCAGGTTAGACCTAGAACAACAGACTGGTTCCAAATAGGAAAAGGAGTACGTCAAGGCTGTATATTGTCACCCTGCTTATTTAACTTCTATGCAGAGTACGTCATGAGAAACACTGGGCTGGATGAAGCACCAGCTGTAATCAAGATTGCTGGGAGAAATATCAATAACCTCAGATATGCAGATAACACCATCCTTACAAGCAGAAAGTGAAGAAGAACTAAAGAGCCTCTTGATGAAAGTGAAAGAGGAGAGGGAAAAAGTTGGCTTAAAGCTCAACATTCGGAAAACTAAGATCATGGCCTCTGGTCCCATCACTTTATGGCAAATAGATGGGGAGACCGTGGAAACAGTGGTAGACTATTTTTTGGGCTCAAAAATCACTACAGATGGAAGTTAAAAGACACTTACTCCTTGGAAGGAAAGTTATGACCAACCTAGACAGCATCTTAAAAAGCAGAGACATTGCTTTGCCAACAAAGTTCTGTCTAGTCAAGGCTATGGTTTTTGTAGGAGTCATGTATGGATGTGAGAGTTGGACTATAAAGAAAGCTGAGTGCTGAAGAATTGATGCTTTTGAACTGTGGTGTTGGAGGACTCTTGAGAGTCCCTTGGACTGCAGCGAGAACCAGCCAGTCCATCCTAAGGGAGACCAATCCTGAGTGTTCATTGGAAGGACTGATGTTGAAGCTGAAACTCCAGTACTTTGGTCCCCTGATGCGAAGAGCTGACTCACTGGAAAAGACCATGACGCTGGGAAAAACTGAAGGCAGGAGGAGAAGGGGCGACAGGATGAGATGGTTGGATGGCATCACCGACTTAATGGACATGAGTAGGGTAAACTCCTGGAGTTGCTGATGTACAGGGAGGCCTGGCGTGCTTCGATCCATGGGGTTGCAAAGAGTCAGACATGACTGAACAACTGAACTGATGACGTTTCAGGGCCTATCAGATATTCCAGGACAATGTTACCATCGCAGGAGCTTTAACAACACTCGCAAAATCTCCTTTGCTGTATAAAGTCATACAGTTTTCCAGTGGTTAGGACCTGGATATCTTCGGGGGCCATTATTACCAACCACATATTGTAATAAAGAAGCATCTTAAAGTTTTTTTTTATTTGCATATTAATGCTTATTTTATCTTCCCAAATGGATGTTATTTTTGCCCAATGAAATAACTCAGTGGAATAGCATTTTACTCAGCTCTTAGCGTTCATTTCTTTCTTCTTATCTATGATATATGAATGAGTAGTTCACATATAGGCATCGTATATAATTTCCTTATTTTCCTGAAAATATTTCTTGATGTTGTTTTGTGTTGTAGTTGGTGTAATTCGGTGCCCAGTATGCCGCCAAGAATGCAGACAGATAGACCTCGTGGACAATTATTTTGTGAAAGATACATCTGAAACTCCTAGCAGTTCTGATGAGAAATCAGAACAGGTATGCTTCTCAATTTTTCTTTATATTACTTTCTTGATATCAAAATGTAAATTATAAGAAAACATGCTTGAATTGTTACATAATTTAAGGTAATTATGCCCTAGTTTCATCTTTCAATTTGAAAATGAAGAGTGTCTTTATTCTACACCCTCAGACCTGGTTAAAAGAGATTAAAAGTTATCACTTAAAAATTCAAAGCTTGTATCAGTTTTGTGTTTTGAGACTTAGGTTTTTACCCACCTGAATGTTTGATCTGGAAGGGAAGGATTTTGTTAAAGAGAAATGGATAGCAAGATGATTTTATTCTAGGTACAGTAATTAGTATATTTGAGAGTAAAGTAGAAAGTTTTTGCTTGTTTATTTTGTGGATCTATATTTCGTAAATTTAATGTAGGTTAGTATTTATTTCCGCTTTTAGGTATGTACTAGTTGTGAAGACAATGCAAGTGCAGTTGGCTTTTGTGTAGAGTGTGGAGAATGGCTATGTAAGACGTGTATTGAAGCACATCAAAGAGTAAAATTCACTAAAGATCACTTGATCAGAAAGAAAGAAGATGTCTCAGGTAAGATAGAAGCAGTTTTAATGATTACTGTTATTCTCTCTCTTTTGCCCCTATGGCATTTCTACTTAACTTTACAAGCTTTTGATATCAGTATCAGTAAGAATTTATAAAGTTAGACAAAAATTTTGTTTAGTTTAAAAATGTATGTTTTATTTTACTACAGAGTCTGTTGGAGCATCTGGTCAGCGTCCTGTTTTCTGCCCTGTACACAAACAAGAACAGTTGAAACTTTTCTGTGAAACGTGTGATAGACTGACATGTAGAGACTGTCAGCTATTGGAACACAAAGAACATAGGTACAGACGTTGTTATTGCTTATCAAGAAATATTATTAAAAGTTATTATAGAATTATTTTTCCTAAAACAAATATTTTTTGTATTTTTTATGTCTTAGAGCAAGATACATTTTTTGGTAAATTATTTAATGGTTTCTATATTCATATCTAATCGTCTTATGGATATTTGTTGAAAATGTATCAGTACGTGGATTTGGGTTGCAATGAGAGTTATATTATTTCTTCATATACAGTCCCTCTGGTTCAAACTCACTTGTTTTTTCAAGTGTTCTGTGGTATTTATCACAGGGTTATGGGCTTTGGGCTGTCATCTTAAAAGGTAATATTTTCATGTGTATGACTGATAGCCATTTTAGCATCAAAGTATATAAATATACTGATTTCATGTCAGATTTAGTTTGTAGAAAAACTGGGAATTTATAAACATCTAAGTAGCATAGTTACTAATTCATTAAAATATAGGTTTGTATTTCAACCCTCTTTTACCCTCAGAATGCAATAGTGTTCACTTATTACCAGCTTGTCACATCAGAACTATTCTGGAAACTACGGAAATTTCTAGTTAGTTGTTAAGTTCAATTAACCACACTTAAATGTTTAACTCTAGGATGTTTTAGAGCTTTTAATTTGTTAGAGCCATTGGAATTTATTAAAGTTCTCTTAGAGGATACATGAATCCTATTTGCTGACAAATATTGCATCCATAGCTTGTGTGGGCACTTTTCTGAATCCCGTATGTTTGTTTAATTCATACCAACCGTCCGTGAAGTATTGGTACTGATATCTCAGCTGTTTCAAAGTGAGCAAGTCTACTCACAGAAAGCTTTAATAATGTATACAGCATGTCCCCATAAGTGGTAGAACTAGGACTTGAACATAGTCAGTTGGACTCCAGATTTGTTTTAGCTCATTTGCTCATTTTCTCCCATGTGATATTCAGAATGTAGAATACAGTGTGTGGAATCTTTCAAACTTGATCTCATAAAGGTAATGTTCTGTTTTCTTTGTCAAGACACCTTTCACTGTTCTACAACCCATTTCTTTGAACTTTCATATCCTTTGTTACAAAATGTTTCATCTTACCTACAGATTAGCTATTGTTTTATTGGAGGTGACTGATTTTGTAGATGCCTTCACTCTGGGTCCAGATCTTACCCTTATCTTGTCATAAATCTCAGTAAGATGTTAAATTACTTTCTCGTAGCTGCTGTCCGGTTTTTGAGCTCTTAGATTTCCTGTGGCTTTTTACATTGGTGGTGTAAAGCAAAAAGAGTAGGGACACAGAAGGTTAACCATAATCCATCCTTCCTTTTCTGTCATCACTTTCCTTTACTCCTTATATCCAAGTCCTGATTACCTCTTGAATGTTCCTACCTTTTCTTTAGTTCATTCACACTTTAGATTTCCTGGGTAAACTATGGCAGAACCAATGGCATTGGACTTAAAAGCCTAGGTTCCTGTTGCAGCACATTTACAACTAGTGTCCTTGCTGTGAGTTTTACCTTGTCAAATTCATTCTGTCTATATTGCTGCCAGTGTCATTTGGCTAACATGTTGTTGTGCCTCACCTACCCCAACCCCTTTAAAAACACCCTTCAGTGATACCTCACAAAGTTTAAAGTGTTCAGTATATAGCATTCATTAGCGAGTCTTAACCAGACTGTTTCTTTATCATCTTCGCAAAGTTAGGAAACAGTCCTCGAGAACCACCCTCTCTTGTCATACCAACTTCAGGGTTCAGTAAAAACCCATATATAGGGGATAACAGCATGCAGTCCAGCTCATTGATATGATCCATTATTACATTCTTCAGTTAGAGTGGTACCCTTCTAAACAGATTGCTTTCTGTACACTTGGGAACCATCATCCATAAACCACGCAGCTCTTTGTTAGCTAATAGCTGTTTTTGGAGAACCACCTATGTGATCATAGCATTCAGCAGTTCCTTTGGTAGTTCCAAGGTCAAGTTTAGGGGGAAAGAGAGTACAGTGACTCAGACAATAAATAATCTGCCTACAATGCAGGAGACCCTGGTTCGATCCCTGAGTCAGGAAGCTACCCTGGAGAAAGAAATGGCAACCCACTCTCTGGTATTCTTACCTGGAGAATCCCATGGACAGAGGAGCTGGCAGGCTACAGTTCCATGGGGTCTGAAAAGAATCGGCCACAACTGAGTGACTAACACTTTAACTTTCACCTGCTCATAAATACAATAAATATTTCTTTGCATCCTCTTGGTTGCATGTTCCTGCACAAACCATCTCTGTTTTTATGGAACACTTTTGGACTCTGCCTTCCTTATTCGTTTTTTTCCTATCACCCAAGACATAAGGGGTATTTCAGGTTTCTTGGTTATTTTATGCCCTGCAGTCACAGTGTCAACCTCAGTGCCCAGTGGCAAACTAGTAATTTTCTCTTAAATAGCATATGTTTTACCATGGCATCCAGAAATTTTCTGGTCCAAAATCCTGGATCTCTGCTGAGTGGCATTCAGAGGTTTTTGCCATAAGTTTCAATCTGCGTGTGTTTTGCTAACACTTCCAAAATCATGTCTAGTTGTGGATCACAGGGTCCATAGGCATCAAGAGAAAGACGGCTTTTTGCTGTTCAGACATAGTTCAGGCCCTCATTCAGATGATTTTGTTTTGGGTGGTTGTATTGGTAAAATTCCCAGATGTGAAGTATATGTTCTTTAAAATTCAAATATACCAACCAAATGTTGGGGCTACTTGTTTAGTTCTGGGGGTATAGGTGGCAGAAGCTGCTTATTTTTTTTCACCTGTGGAATGGTAAAGGTGGCTCCTACCTAGGTTATTCCTAAGAATTTTACGTTTGGGCAGGTCCTTGGACCTTTGTTAGGTTCAGTAACAGCCTTTTTGCTCATGTGTGTCACCGTTGCATTTACGGCAGTCTTACCTTTATCTTTAGTTTCTGATATTACCATGAAATCAACATCGTGTATTATTATACTCAGGACCTGCGTTATGTCTAAATCTCTTCTAAACAAATTATACCAGTAAGCTGGTGAATTGAAATAACCCTGTGGTTAGTATAGTAAACATCAGTTAGGGTCCTTCCACATGAAAAACTGCTCTTGGCTTTTCTTCAGAGTTAGAGGGAAAAAAAATTTTGCATGTTCAGTCCCTGAATGCCACTTATTAAGTCTGCTGTATATATTTTTTCTGTTGTTCACACCATATCAAGGACTGCCGATGCTATGGTGGCATTATTGAGTTCAGGCTTTAAATAGTGTACTGTTAACTGGATGAACCATTTACTCTTCACAGGGTACACGTGGTTATTGTACAAAGAATTCATTGGCACAAGTGAGAGCAGAGCAGCTTGTCGTTTGTCATTATAGTCATACATTCTTTTTATCCACTAGGTATCCTGTACTGTCTCAAGTCGACAACTTCTGTGGACTTGGACAGTTTTAATTGTTCTCATTTAGCATGTTTAATCAAGACTTGCCTCAAGGTGAACATGTGTTTCTTGTATTTTACAGTATTAGATAATATCAGTAATAACCATTCTAGTAATCATATAAAGGAGAGAGAAAACTATTTCACAAATAATCTGTTTATATCACTGTGTTCCAGCTTTCACCCAGACTTTCATTTTAATACTATCAACCATCCCTCTCTTCCCAATCTAACCTTAATGCCCATTGTAACTTCAGCAGGTTTTAGAATCATAGTATATTAGGCTCCCATGTCAGGGAGTCCCAGAAATGTCTTTTATCCAACCCAAGCTATTTTACCCACACAAATGCATATTGCCTTGTGTTTTCCAGCTGGACTTTGAGCCAGAAGACCCTGGCCTCTCCTTTAGTTCTCAATTTGATTAATCCATGGAATAGTTGCTCAGGGAGTACAAGGTCAGGTTCTCATTGTCCCCTTTATCCTCTAGCTTTTAACATTTCTTCATACTAGGGTAAATGTAACAGAGTTGCTTAATGCCTTTTAACATTGAGGACCAGCAGTAGCTTCCATTGGTCCTCCCAACCCCCTAGAGTGCTGTATTAAGACCTTTGTTTCAACCCCATCATTGTTTGCTTTATTCATATCTTCCCCCCTCCCCATTTTTAAACAGCCACCTAAAATTTTTCATCCTTTTGGGATAAATTTCTTGACTCTTTTGTTTGTCTTTTCCATGTTCTTGTGAATCACCCCAGTTTTCTCAGCATCTGTAAGGCCCATAATGCTGAGACAATAAATCTGATAAGGCATCTCAGATTATCGCTAGGTTTTGCAGCAGTAAAATTACATGGGGGTACCCATGTATAAGGTCCTCCTTAACTGTTTTATTTTCTTTAACCTTAGAGGCATATTCAGTAGACGAATATCCTGATCTTCATAATGCTAATCTCACATGGCTTGAATAAGAAGCATGTCAGTCAGTTCTTCTGGGAAGTTCTAGTTGGCATTTATAGGAGAAGGACAATCACCTGTCTGAGGGTAAAAAAACTTTACAGGGGCTTTTATCCAGTCCACTCAGCTCGCTGTCCTCTCTGGAATGACCTGCTATGTACTGAGGTTTTGGGTAACCATCTGTGGTGGTTCAGTAGTGAGTGCTGGGTCCCACATCAGCTCAAACATTGCTCTTCTATTCTGCAGCCTTCAAAATCAACAATACTACCTCTAAGTGTTGTCACTCACAGTATTTTCATAGAGGTATTTTCAGGAAGCATACAGTGTCAGTCCACAAAATGAAATAATTCCTTAGCATTGTACACTCTGGTTTCATTAGTTTCTTGATTTTGTCTTTCCTCAACCTCGACTTCATTGTTATTGGAAGTCGTAGAGGTGCTGCCTGTTTTCCCAATGTAATTTTTCCATTTGGAATGACCCTTAGGCTTAGTGGCTGTAGCTCAGCCTGGCTGAAATCTAAGCTTTGCCCAGTGTCAGGATCTGTCCCAACACACTCTTCATTTTAGCTAGTACAGATGACAGTATCCAAGGAATTGTTTAATTACCTTGTTTCTTATTAGTTTGCATTTC